TTTCCTGTCTAAGGTCATCTGAGTTCAATCTGAGATGCAACTTTCACTGCAGGGTCATCTATGGTTAACCCTCATGGTTGTGGCACAGGTTAGTAGGTAGAGTTCTAATGATTTATGGGGGTCACTTGAGGTCCAGCTGGCCCTTGTGTGAGCTCTATGGGTCATCTGAGGTCAACATGCTAGCATATTAGTTAAACGGGTCACCTGAGGATGACATGATATCCAATGATCTGCTTGAAGGTCATTTAAGGTCAGCGCTGCTCTCATTTGATGCCTGATGTTATTGAAGGTCAGCTTTACACCCAATACATTTCTCAGGGTCACCCTGACCCTTGTTTTCATTCCGCAAGTGATTTGAAATCAAATTCAGAACAAATTAACCTGCACAGGTGTCATCTGAGATCAACCTTAATTCCATTTAGTTACCACAAATCATCATTTGAGGTCGACCTGGCTTCCCTTGGTGCCAGGAGGTCATCTGAAGGTAATCTGGACTACATTTCCTCAGGATCAATTAAGACTAACCTTAAACAGAGTTAGTAGCACAGGGGTAACTTTGCTGTTATGGATAACTGAAGACCTCCCTTGCTCTCCTTGGTAAATTGCTGTGCAATGAGGACCTCTAAATTCACACCTCTTCTCCCCAATCCCTGAATTTGATGCATAGAAGTTATCTGAGATCCATTTTAGGCCTCTTCTCTCTTCATTATTTTGGGATCATTTTCTGCCTCTATACTCTGCTAATGGTCCTCATAGTTCAACCCCTGCCGTTTGGGGGTTTTTTTTGAATGAAGGTGGTCACAGTCATCTCTTCTTCTGTGTGTTATGACTATTTAATTCAGCTACAGGCCTAATTTGAGGAGGTTGCCACAAGAGTTCAAATCCTTCCCTAGGTAGGTGCAGGCTGGAATAATCTGTGGTCATTTTTTACTTTTATGCTTGTCCAACAGTCAGTTGAGCTCAGTCAGATCCAACACTTCCACTCTGCTGAAGGTTCAGATGAGATCACCTCCTGGTTTGATTTGGGGCAAACTATATAGCTTGAGTTTAATCTCAGCATTTTATTCTGTTTATTGGTCATCTCAGCTGAAACCCACTCTCTGTATTGTGGAAGGCGGTTATGTACTAATCTGAGCTGCTCTGCAGAGGTTAGCTGAAATTGAATATTCTTCTCATTTCCTGAGTAGGATCTTACAGTCTGACTGAATTTCACTCTCCTGTGTACTGTGAGGTTAAAACCCGCTGTTGATTTAATGGAGTAGTTTGTCCTAGTTCATGTGACATGACAGTTTGCTGCTCAGACATTTTCAGAGGTCAGGTAATGCTTCAAATTTCATAGCAGGGGTCAACTGAGAAGTATCTCTTTTTTTCATCACCAGCTGACACACTTTCCTGTTGAAACCAGGCTGCCTGGGATGCAATGTACACACAAATGCTCTATGTTTTAGTAGAACCTGCCTCATGCTACAGACCACAGAAAAAAGATGGTGTTGGCAATATCTCCATGGGATGAAAGTTTATTCAAGAAAAACAGCAGGAGGAAGCTCACAAGTCGGAGACTGCTCTTTGCATCTCAACCTCCTCTCCTCTTTCACTCTGCCAGCCACGGGTATGCTGGACTGACTGCACGGTGTCAAAACACAAATCATATTTGTTCAATGATAACCTGAGAAATTGAAGGTTTTAACTATCTACCTAAATCCCTGACACAAAGAATGCAGACAGACTTTCTTTAGGCAACAAAGCCACTGCTTTTCTGCAGAACTTTTCTCAGATTTTTCTTCTTTAATCACCAGCACTTTATCACAACTGAACACCAACATCTAGATGGATCCAGGTTATTTTAAAACACTAGTTCATTTGCTCTGTCCCTACAAATAGAACTCATGCCAGGTAGGCAGATGGACAGAGCACTGCAGCTGTTTACACAGTCTTCAATATCAAAGAGGAAAATAACCTTTTTTTGGTTTTAGTTTGAAATTTTTTTACCCCAGCAATAATTATCATAAATTAAGGGATGACACTGTCCTCCAGATATAACAAATATGGTAAAGAAAAGCTGAAAAGCAGTAACAGATTTTGCAAAAGGTCTAGCAAAAAGGAAAGGACTGATAACTCTGGTGTGATCACAGTTGATGTGAAGGCCCAGGTCACTCCAGACAGGTTTTTCTTTACTTCTGGGAACAATTTTTTCCAGTAAAAAGTGACTGGCATCAACATTCTAAGAATGGAGAACAGATGTAAAAGGTAGCTGATATAAAATAACACATCTGACAATGAAGTCAATGGAATACCATTCATTTATATCAGCTCCTTGTTTACACTAGTGGCTGTAGAGGCTTCTTACATCACAGATCTAGAATTAAAAAATAAGACTGTCATATTAAAGTGATGATATTTTTCTTACATCTGCAACAGTGATTTGGTTGACAAAAAATTTTCTGAGAATCGGGCATGCATCTCAACTCAAGAAAAATCCAGAGTGAACATCTAATAAATCATGATCCAATAAATAAATAAAACAAAGTGTCTACTTTCTGCTTCTGTAAAAAGAATTTTTTACTTAGGGAACAGGTGTAGAAACGGTCTTGCAAGCATACTGACTACAAGAATAGAAACTAATGCTACTACACCACTGAAACAAAAGGAGAGCTCGAAACCACATGATAAATACAGAATACCTGTTTATTACTTTGATATTAAAAATAAAAATTACTGCATTAATTTCTGTATGTTACTTTCACCTGTTTCCCTAGTGCTTGGCAACATATTATTTCATCCCACACCCATCAACAACAGAAACATTTTGAAAATGTGTTTTATTCTTTTGGAACAGTATGAAATAGATTGACAAAACCACCACAAATACAAATCCATTTTGAGAAAATATAGATGTAATATCCCTTCTGTCTTGATTGCACTAACAATAAATGAATAACCCCGAATACACCACCACTATGAATAAATGAAAAAAAAAAAAAAGCCTTCCTGAGAATGAAGTTTGTAATTTCTCAATATTTTTCATATGTTTAAACCGCATCTCCAATGCAGCAGTTTCCAGAAACACATTTTGCTTTGAGTAATCTCAACTGAATTCCTAAGTAAGCTTCTTTTAATCTCATATTAAAATATAAGTACTTTCATTTCAATTTTTTTTTTCAGAACTTTAATGTCCAACTTATTTGAGCAAATAAGCAAGACTTTTTTCTTGAGCCCACCAGAAATATAAAATAAATTCCTATATGTGCTTTTAAGCAAAAGCAAACATTGAAACTAATAATCAGAAAGCCCTACGGGTTGACATGCAGAGGTTTTCTCTTCCACACTAGCTGTCAAGCAGCTAGAGAATAATGCTGTCCTGCATATTTTCATTCCACATGCACCAGAGTTTTACTGTGAGGCTTATCAATGTTCCTGTTAAAGGCTGCTGGGTTGGGGGGGATGGGGTGAGGTGGGGGGAAAGTTCATGTTTTCAGTGGGCATGGGCTTCAATATGAGGTCAGTATTTAGACATTGAAAGACAATTTGAAGAATGTACAGAATTTGTAGTAAGAAAGACACCAAGGATTCAAAATAAATAAAAAGAAAATTTTCAAATTATTTTCATTATAATTTATTACTGAACTATAAGAAAGTTGGGGGTGGTGGTGAAGTGTTTAATCAAATACCCAAATGTACACTTTAGAGAAATTTAAATCAGCCCTCCCCAACAATGCAAAAAGAAAATGGAGGCAAAATTAATTAACTAGCAGAATCACTGGAATTTTTAAACTTAGCATCTCTGTGCATGGAAAAATCAGTGATAGGATACAAGTATATAATGGAACAATTTCAAATGCCTCCTTTTCTTGTTTCATCACCTTAATACCTCACACTGAGCAAAATTAAATATCACACATGTTTTTATGAACTATATTTTAACACAAATTTGTATCTTGTAAGGATTCCCGATTTGAGGAGAAGGTAGTATACACCTTGATGGGTACTAACAAGGCAGATTAAGACAAATCTACACTGAGCTATATACTGTAAGAATTCTCATGAGTATTCCTATGAATGTAAAAGCCACTCACTCTTTAAGGCAACGCGAGGGTTGTCAAGAAAAGAGCATCTGAAGTGTGATTTGTGCATACGTTCAAAAAGAAACAAAAGGTGTGTGGAGTTTATTTTTGTGTGTAATATATATGTGTTCAGAATTTATGGCAATAATTGAGGAAAACACTATCAGGGTAGCATTTAAATTGTCCTTGGCTTTAAAGACATAAATATGTGTCATTTAGTTAAACTGAAGTTAAAGGCATACTGACAGTTAAAAAATCCTCTAGACAAAGTTCTTTCTTTAAAGTATATATGTGTGCATGTAAGCGCATACCTCCATAAAGCCAAATTTTAATTTGATAATCACTGGAAGCAGAACTACTACCTTACCAGCAAAGTGATCAAAATCCACCATCATTCTGTAGAGATGCAGTTAAACAATCTCTTTTGCAGGCAAGCTAAGACTTTCAATACATGGAATTCCTTCAAAAAAAGCCAAAGGGAATTACATTTTTTTTTCAAAATGAATAGTATAATCTAAGAGAAAAGAAGGTGGGACTTTTCCACAAAAATAATCTTATAAAACAATTTTTTTAAATACAAAAAGCAAGAAGAATCTCTTCAGGATGCTCTCAAGAACTGAAGGCATCTCAGCTGAACACAATGTGGGTGATTACCTCAATGCCATCATCAATATCATAATCAACATAAAAACTGGGAACATATAACTTTCAATTCCTACGTGTACGTAGATATATTCCAAATATACCAAATGACCAATAATAACAACGAATAGCTACCGCACACATTAAAATTTACTATCACCTGTGATGGAAATATGATTTTGTTTCTTATTCAAGTATAGAGTTTTCTGTTGACTTACATTTCAAGATCAGGTATTTCTACTTAATACAAAGGTACAAAGTTGCTTTAATGTGATCTGTAATACAATACTAGTAGTATTAGAGATATTTCTGCTGAGCACTTCATTTCAATCTTTATTCTACAAAAATCATATTGCACATAATAGATTTTTGTGTTTTGTGAACTTCTATTGAGATCAGATGACATCAAAAGAAATGCATGCTGATGCTGCAAATGCATACATGTAATTGCACCACTGTTAGTCCTATGTACAGTCTGACACTGACAACAAGAAGTTAAATACCAAATGGAACATATAATTCTTAGTGACTTTGAAAACCTTTGTTGCCAGTTACAACTTTAAAACATTCTGAAACTAAAATATTATAAAGGCAGGCAGGTCCTGGTTAAAAGTTGAATCATGTACAAGGTGATTCTTTGTTTATATTAAAGATCATAAATTCATCGATTTCATCAACTTAGAATGAGAAAGGTCAATGATGCTTGTGTGTCCGATAATCTAACCCTTCATTGTTCAACTTGTTCTTGATATGTTAAAAGAATTCAAGGTGAAGCTCCCATTAAATTTTTCCACCTACCTGCTATATCAGTGACTATTGTTTAAAACACCAATTCATTCCTCATACATTCTTGGTTTGTCTCTGCATCAAGATCAACAATAAAGAGAAAATAACGTTTCTGCAATTTCCTGGAGAGCCTCCTATGCCCAGGGAAAAGTGAGCAGGAGCTCTGTCTCTGAAAATTAATGATTTGCATGCATGTAAACACTCAAGTATTTATTAAAGAGCAGAGAGAAAAACATCAGATCACTACCCCTTGGAAATATGCTTGTCAGGGTAATTTTCCTAAAAAAGCAGTTTGGAATGATAATCCACATTAAAAAGTCACTGATGGGACAGTTCATCCAGCTAAGGGGTGACCTGATCCTGGGAATTCACTGAGCTGTATGAGAAAGACCAGCACAAAAAGCATGGAAGGGGACTAAATAAAGATTTTTTTTTTTTCCATTCCTTGCCTACAGGGTCTGTCAAGGGCAGACAGATGCTGCACTCAGACACTTGAGTTTTGTTCTTTTGGCCTGACCCATGGCAGTGACAAGGGACAGGTTCTTGAGCACATAAACACATGGGCTCTGCTCACAGCCACTGCTTCACAGCCGTGTGTCATACTCCACAGGCTCATCTGCATCATCAGCTCCTCTGACGCTTGTCTCTGTTTCTATTTCGAAGGCTGGACCAACCCTTTCCAGCGCGTAGTCACCTCTTCTCAAATCTATGGCAAGAAAATAAATTCAACAATGCAGCCAAGTAAATATTTGAAAAACACATACACCCCAGGCAGTGTCCAACCCAGTGACTGGTGGTGGTCTGTTAGATGTTTCCAGGAGGAAGAAAATCTGCAGCAGGGCAAATGAGAGCCAGGGGAATTAAAGCCCTGGGCGGACCCAAAATGGTGTGAGATGATTTGAATGAACCTTCCTTGACTGCACTCGTTCAGCTGATTTTCCCCTCCATTATCACTAGCTGCCACAGATGCAAGTAATCAAAAACAGTAATACTGCAGTTTCTGTCTCAGACTCAAACAGCAATTATTACTCCATGTAAACATTGAAAGGAAGGAGCCTTCCCCTAGAAAAAAAGAGGTGTGTGTAAAATCATCCAGAACAGCGATCTATTTTGGCTTCAAGTCTTTTAAATCTGCCCTGCATCAAACAGAAACATGTTCTATCAAATCTAAAATGAACAACAGGCAATCCAACTAAGAAGAAGTAAGGGCTGCAGTGTATGGGACCCTGTGCCAGGGCCAGGAAACCTTCATTGAGTTTTACCCCAGCTAATCCATCGCCAATTTTTAGATTGCTCCACCTCATTCTAAAAATTATTGCTGATGTTATCTGCAGTGATGACCCTGGAAAAATGAGCTACCATTTTGAAAAGCAAAGGAAACAATTCAATGGGTTGAAGTTTTAATGCTGAATGCTAACACCAGGTTGACAGGTTCCAACACTTACACGGTTGCAGGGCAAAAGAGCAAGGTAAAAGAGCAATATTCTCATATCTGCCTTTGCACAGAGAATGTGCCTGCTGTAATTCTTAATCTCAAAATAATTTTGGTTATTATCTTTATATCATGCCTAGGCCTTTAATTCCTTGCACTTAAGAAATTATACATAGATTAAAAATTAATCTTTACTTTGCATACCAGGAAGTTTCAGCCTCCTGCAGCAAGAGTTACAACGATGCTTTGCGATGAAGTTTCTTATTGCACCTTCTCCGAGGTTTGCTGGTCCAAATACCATCTTTCCAGATCTAAAAAAAATGTTATTAAATAATCAGTGAATTCAAAATAAAGCAGTTGTAGGGGAGAGAGATGATGATGGTTCAGATTTTTTAAAAAATCAGAGATAAGTTAGCCTTTGTATAAAGACAATCAAAGCTTAGGGTACATCACAAGTTTCTTACCTCTGGGACAAAGAAACTGCCAGTTCTGGTAAAGTATAACCCCACACAACTTTTCTTTCCTGCTGTATCTCAGAAATGCTCTAAAGGGAGACAGGACAGACCCAGCAGTTCCCAGCAAAATGCTCAAAGGAAATTTAGACACAGTGACATTTAGACAACATACACCAGAATCTGAGTGATTCTGTTGCTGACACCACTCCTTCTCGTCAAGCAAATGGTTTGGTTCTGGTTTTGATAGTAGGCACCTGGGAAAAAAACAGAGCTAGCAAGGACTTACTTCTACCTTATTTAAGAACAGAAAGCCAAAAGCAAGCAGAACCCTAGTCACATTAATATGCAGCACAGAAAAAAAAAAAAAAAGCACAGAACACTGCTGACAAGAAAGGCTTTAAAATTTACTGGCTTCTTTCTATGCTCATTTCCATGTGTCTGCACTCTGGCCAATTCAGCAACGTTACTAGGGGATCCATTTGTGGAAGTGTATTGCATATTCTGAATTAAGCTGACACAATTACAAACAGAAGCAAGCTATAGCTACACATGTATTAGAAGTACCACATAATTATAACAGATTCTTAATGTAGTCTGAAAGATCAGTGTTCATTAATTTTAATATTGCTCTACCATTATTCTCAAGAATTTAATTGACATTATAGACATCACAGAACACAGCACACAAGAAGCACTTCCAAAGAAACTTTATGAATGCTAGTATTTTATTTTAATGATATGCAGAGTGGAAACAACACATTTTGAAATCTGAAATCAATTACAGCTCTGTGAAGCTATATAAAAAGATTTTAACTCTCTCAAATCTATCTGTAATCCACACTTGCAAAATATATTCTCTCTAAAGAAAGTAGTTTTCAAATATGACACTCTCCCTGTTCACACAGGAGAAAAGCTATGATTAGACAAAACTACTATAGAAAGCTTAGTATTTCTCTAATTTCTGGCAGACTCTAAAGACTACCTGTCTCCTGGATTATCTGAAGGACCCATCTAATCAGCTTTTACTGCAAATTAGTACATGAAACAAGGCAAGAAGTTAAATATAATTTAAGTGGCATACATACACTTCAATGACATGATGTTATATAGCCATTTCCATCCTTGGTATAATTTGGTAAAATGTCAGTAAGAATAGAACATACTTAAGTATTTGCTTGGGCAGGCATAGGAAATTGAGAAGACTGCACCAGTCACAAGGGTATGGAACCACTTTGACACTTTCTCTGATTTGTTATTCCATGCAAAGTGCAACAAATAGCACAGGACTGATAATTTTCTTACGCTGTTGTGAGATAAACAGGGATACTGTTTGGTACATATATGAAGTACCTTTCCTCTCTACCCAGCACTGGCAATGGTTCAAGAGAAATACTGCATTTAAATTTGGAAAACTATTTCCAGAAATATGGGAATAAATTCCGAAAATAACAAGAATGACAAGAAGTCTAGGAATCATGACATATGAATAGATTAGAGGGTACCCTAAAAAGAAGAAAAAAAAAAAAATTGAAGGAGAAGGTGCTGACTAACTTTGAATTTGTTGAAATTTTTTTGTCTAGGTCAACAGTAGACAGGACCAGAAAGAAATGTTTCAAAAAGGAAATCAGGAAAAAACTTTCAGACAGTAACTATAGTAAACTTTTGGAAACAGATGCCCTGGGACGTTCTTAAGGTCATGCTTGGAAGACCTTAAGATTTGTCTGTACAAGATCTGTAAAGCCAAGAATGACCTGGTGCAGAAGAAAAGACAGCTGAACTCTTTGAGTCCCTTCTAACTCTACAAATGTTTTATAAACAAAGTCACTTTCCTGGTTATTCATGGTCTGATTTCATCTTTAAGGAGAGAAAATTATTGAGCTCAGCTTTCCTATTTCCCAAGCAGGTGCATTAATGTAAGCTAATGGGCTTAAAAAAACCAAAACATGTTACTCCTTTTGTGCAGAACTTTACCTAATAGATATACTCCATAAATGCCTACCAGATTGTACTAGACTGGTCCTGGCTGGTGACACAGACTGTGCTGATGCAAACAGCGCTCCTTATAGTGCAGAGCTACAAATGCTCAAAGCAGGCAATAAGAAATGTACGAGGCTTTACTTGATGGAAGTTAAAGGACTGTTGGGGGCTTCATGGCAAGTAGCACCTTTCCAGGGAGGTGCCGAAGTCATGTATTTGGTATGTTTTTGCAGATTTAGCTTCCAGTCTACCTGTTTCAGTTGTGCAGGTTTCTACAGTAGATGTTCAGTTCATGCAGATGTTTCATCTACTGGCAGCAATTCAGCTGTAAATTGTTTAGCTAGAAGTGCACAGCTTGGTAAAACGCAATAGATTTGTTCTTCAGAACACATGCTAATGAGTAGATACAGAGAACACAGTCTCCACTCCTTACTAAAACCTTCAGCCCATCACTATCTGCCTGAGAGCTTTCAAAAGAAAGAGTAAGAGACCTAGCACCTCTGACGACTCCTTTTCACATGCTTGCAATGAGATTTTTGACTGTCAGCACCCTTTTTCTCACCTCTCTCAGCAGGCCTAATGCATCAGTTCTTACCAGTTTGAAACCCAGCCCACTACTTTCCTCATCTCTGAATCTGCTCTACAGACACTCTGCACCTAGTGTCTCTGAAAGCTTTACCCCTGTGGACTTTGTTGTGGATTTGGCAAGTAGCACATGCATCCAGAGCAACACTGGTGAGGCAATTCTTCCCAACATATGTGTGGTACAGGAGACTGTAGGGACCGCACTGTGTCACAACCTTGCTGTTGTGCCTCAAATATTTCTGTTTTTAAGAGAAATCTTTTTGTGAACACTACACCCACATCATTTTATCACTTCAAACATCGTATGTGGTGTACTGTGAGAGACGAGAAACCAGGCCTGTGAGAAACTAAGACACAAAACCTGGGAAAGCAAAAGTTGAGGCTGATTGAAGAAATGCCTCAAACACTCTCAAGACAAAACTCCGAGTCACAGGGTGCTTTCTGTGGAGGCCGAAGCTGATAACGCTGCACAATGTGCCTGGGGGAGAGAGCTCTGTGGAGACAGGACGGCTCTGCCCTGGGGCACCTGGGCAGATTTCAAGGGCCATGTGTCCGGTGAATGAACTTTGCTTCATTATCCACAAAATGCATATTAAAGTTGACACCCCTCAATATGCTAACGAGGGCTGTCATGATCATGCTAATTACATCATCCCATGAAATTCCTCACCCCTCCTCGTACATGGGATATGTAGCTATGCGGGTCAACCTAGGGGACGGACCCAAGGAAAGTGGGTATAAATCAAAGTGGGGAAGAAAGGGCTCTCTCTCTCCCTCTGCCCCTCTCCCTGACTTCCTCTGCCCCCCTGGCCATCTGGAGAGAGAAGTGAAGTGAAGAAGATGGATGCCAGTGAAAAAGAGGGCTGCCTCCTGGAATCCTCACCGGTGGGATCAGCGCAGGAACCCAGACCGGTGATCTGTATTCCCCCATTCCCTCTATCTCCCTCTTTTCCTTTTTCCATTAAGAAATGCAAGGCATATTATATTGCTCGCCACAACTTGCTCTGTACTTAGCCAATTAGCATGTGTTCAATTAGCACATTGTAGGTAGTTAATAAATGCTTGAACTTGGAGACTTGTTGTCCGCTCCAACTGGGGATTTGCGAATCTGAGTCACTTGTCCCCCTCATCTGAGTGGGACGTAACATGTACAAGGCCAGATCTTCAATTGATGCTAAATATCCATGACCTTACACTGATTTACATCAGCTCAGTATTTGTCTGAGATGTCACAGTATCAGGCATACTTTCCAAACAAATCTGTTAATTTTATCATAAAACAAAAACAGGATGCACTATCAGAGAGTTAGAGGTCACATTGTGCCATTACAAAGTCCATTTCAAGACAGCATGTAGGATGCATGAACCAAAAGACTCATTACAAGATAATGACATGAGCCATTAAATCAGTGGAATTAAAGAAGCAAAACATAAATAATTTAACTATAAGTAGTATTAAAATTTGAATCAGCCCCGACAGTCAGATGCCATCTATCTTTTCCCAGGCTTCTAAGAGAACATGAGCTCAAAGCAACTTTTAGCGCACAGGTTTGGATTAAATATCTTACCTACAAATGAAAACTTAAAACAGATCTTGTTACGGCCAGAAATGTTTCTCTTGTGACCAAATGAATGTTAGAGCAAAGACATTGTTATTGTTATTACTGTTTTAGAAAGTGTTTCTTAGAATTGTGTATCAACTAGCTGCTTCAAGAATCCATCCACAGTTTCACTGACTTATTCCTTTAGATCCCTGAATCAAAACAATATAGTTTCACAACTTGCTGTTCTGAAGATTTCCCTGAGCATAATAAAATCAAGCTGGTTTTGATCAATTAATCAACACTTCCTCTTTAATTTAGGATTTGACTGTTTTGCAGATGATAAAAAACAAAACAAGAATTTCTGAAAATAAGACCTGTGTGATCATATTTTAGTATGACAAAATTATTAAATAACAAAAACAATCCAGGACACTAATAAACATATGCTTCAAGATAATGTAGATAAATATTATTCCTATTCTAAAGAGGATAGGCTGAGTTGTCATGTTCAGTACTCTGGTCAATGACCGGCTACAGCCCTCAGTAATAACTATTACAGCTCATGCTACCACTGACAGAAAAAATTCACTTGAACAGTAACAAATCAGACTTGTATACATCTGTAGCTGTAGCAATACCTTAAAATGTTTACTAAAATCTTGTGAAAAACTACATGATTGACCTCTCTGTCCTAAGCTATCTTTGTGCTTCTGCCACAGTCCTATGACCTACTTAGTGACTTTGTCACTGTGAGGTACTCAATATATTTTTGATGTTGCTTCCAAAATAAATATTATATGGCAAATACACTTATATTCATAATTAAACTTCCATACAACATTAATATAGTCATTTATTACTAAACATATTAATGAAATATTAACAATGGTCCCATAACTGAGTGCCTGCTTCCAAAATTAACTTGTTCTGAGTTCTAGGCTAGTCATCTAATATATCTGTAGTTAATTGCCCTTTGTATTAAATCAGACTATTCATACTTATATCTTCCTTACTTCCAAACATGAGACATCCCTCCAGTCAGATGACATGAGCTGGGTAAGAGCAAGACAAGCTGAGCACAAGACAGTGGGAGGGCAAGGATGCCAGGGCACAGCTGCAGAGAACCTCAGCTCCCCAGAGAAAAGGACCCTGCAGGACAGCAACCATCAACACCACCGCTTCTCCTCTTGATACATTAAATACCAGTAAGAAGCAAGGTTGCAGGATGGAAGAATGTCCATGGCTTGATTCTGAAATTTGATGTGTGAAGGCAGACTGCTACCTCTGTGTAGTTTCCCTAGTTTTTGTAACTTTCCACACATGATTTACCATCTCCATATCACCACTAGGGCCTACTAGAAAGACCAGAGGTTCAGAGGCCCCCTCCTAATCCTCTTAAGCCATTGTGGCCCCATATACTCCATGAAACAGTGCCCCACAAGGCAGGGGAAATTGGTCTGCCACATTTAAGTTACTAATGATCTCCTTTGGTACAAATCTGTGAAGAGACTTACAGGGTCTTCCATCTCCCATTCCTCCTCTCCTTGCATAGTCCCAGAAAGTTCCTGTGCTTCCCTGTTCAAAGCACCACAGACTCTCATGACCTTTGATACCACTCACCACATGTTGGGAGCTGGGACACTTACAGTCCCCCAAGTCCACAGTCCTCCAAAGCACTGCAGAGGATGTAGCCTCTCCATTGACATCATAACTTCATTTAACCCAAACAACATGCATTATGAACCCAAACACCCAAACAAATAAATAAACCTCTCTCACACAAAACATAAGAAATGCTCTAAATATACAGAATGCTGGCAGGACATCTGAAGTGAATTATAATTTCATCAGAAAGAAACCTACTTTTTGTCTTCAGGTTTAATCACAGATGGATCTGTGAGGTTTTCCCCAACACCTACAACAAAATTGACAGTGTGTTACAAATTAGTCATAATTTCATAATCTGGCACTTAACAAAAATATAATCATCCTTTCCTTTGCAGATGATAAAGTGTCAGAGTTAAACTGGTCAAGAGTGAAAAAGAAAATGTTATGAGTACAAAAATCTGTTAAGTATTGGCAAATAGACAGAGTTCTTAGTACAGTCCTGACTTCAGCTGCTTTGAGGTTTTACTTATATGTAGACAGAAGGCTTATGCAAATGCACTACATATTATGCTGAAGCTCAGCTAACTAAGCAAAATGTGACCAACCGTAAAACCGCTATTTAAGTCTGAGTAAAGGTATTAATCAGATGTGGATCTTACTGATATCAACCTATCTACTGTCAGATACATGTTCTCTTCAAGGCAAAAAACACAACAAGACACAACTTTTGATTTGGTGTTTTCCCCTTTTTCTTCTGAGTGGCCATGGAAGTGTATTGAATTCATTATGACACTTGACTGCTGATACCTATGTTGCAGTTTTACCCAAACTGATGACATACTATCATTTTACCAAAAAGGTCTTTTCTTATATCTGAGAAAATCATTGTGCTTTTACAATTTAAAAAAAAAAAAAAATTAAAAAAAAAAAAAAAAAAAAAAAAAAAAGTCTATGATGACATGCAATTATTTCTATTTCAGCAGGCCACTGATGGCAAGTTTATATTCTGCAACAAAAACCAGTAAAGATCATGGAAAAAGCATGTTGTGACTGAAATACCCCCAAACTGCAACACTTCAGTGAAGATTATTTCAGTTGATGTAAATTAGACAAAATGTGGTCTATATGTATGTGGATAGGGCCCTGGTATTATATAGTAAATTGTGATATAGAATAATCCTATTAGAACTCAAAAGGGAGCAGCCTTTGCACTTTTCCTAAACTCCAGATTAGAGAACTACAAGATAAACACGAGGCCAAAACTAGAGCAGATTTCAGTTTGTTAGAGTTGGAAACTGAAGCTCCAGTCTTGATGATTTACATAGATGTATAAATTCTCCAAGTCTGAGCCAATACAGTTGGTCTGGAACTGTTGAGAATTGAATAATAAACCCAAGAAAACTTCAGACAAATTCTAGTAGGCTATGGTGAAGACACACTTACTCTGTATTTTTTTCATGTGCAGCTAAAACCAAATGAAGGCAAGGATGGAATTATAGGTTTATTTTGCATAATAAGCATGTCTTTTTGTAATTCACAGCTTCTGGATGCTGTAAAATGTAAATATGTTAAGTCTCTGTCTACCCATACACATTTCCCTTGACAGAAATGACAAACAACAGTGTTTATACTGTTTGATGGGTGATGTTCATCTTCTGAACATTGTCAACTGTTTTATCTCTTTAAAATATGCCATGTTCCCACTTACACATGTACAGTAAAGCGATCACATGCTCTTTGAAAGAGTCACCAGACTTTGTGAATAGCATTCAGGCTTGCAGCTTATGTAAACTACTTACAGATTTATTAATACAAAAAACAAAAAAATACATATAGCCCTTCTCACTCTTAATAAATATAGACATATATTAGGTGTGCACATATACACTTGAATCCCTGTATTATTTATCTTAATAATATCTTAATAAAAATACCTTAACTGTGGAATGCTTTTTTGGAGCTGGCTGAAATGTTTCTGCACACTTTATCTACCTGCTCTTTTGTGCATTCAGCCTAGATGTATTTGAAGTCAAATTATTTTCCTATTACACCTACATTAATCTAGAGTGTTTCTGTGGATACTCATTTATCACTGCCACACAACAGATATCCAGAGGTTTCTTGAGCTTTGCCAGTATGTAAATAAGAAGATAATTTGGCTCATTTCTCAGTATTAAATTCTCTTTTGAGATAATAGCTTTTCATTAGGTTTCCAATAGTGACCCCACACTAGCACTTACCTTGCAAATCCAGGACAAGAAGCTCTCCGTGAGTGTACACGTAGGTCCAGTGAGAGAAGGCCAGCATTAGTTCTTCCAGCAAACTGCTGGGAGTAATCTCGTCTCCATTGTTGTTGTTGTATTTCCGAAACTCACCAGTCATGTACTTCTCAATGGTCAGCCATTGGTTTGCCGAATGGCAGTAGATGAGGAAAACTTCCAGGAATCTGTACATATAAATGGAGTCTATCAGGAACTGGCAGGGCAATGAACATCCTCGCAGTCAACACATGGCATGATGCAAAGAAAATATACCAAAAAGGATGCTACATCTTCCCTAGGTGGAGCATTTTGAACAGCGGGATGTATCAAAGGGTAGACAGCACAAAAGCTTTCTTGGTTTGGTAATTCTCAAAACAAAGCACTTGATCAGAAAGTCTGGTTTATGGGCAAACAATCTATTTTAGTCCAGTCCACCATAAATGAACTATATGAAATTGTTTTATGTTAATTGTATAAAAAGCAATTCTTGCTTAACTCTAAGGAACAGCATTATGAAGAAGACTGCCATCACATGTATCTATAAAGACAAAGTTCAAAGCTGCCTACCTTTCCTCTTAAAAAGTTGATAAACTATCATTAGACTGTCTAAGCAGCAGCTATTTCAACCCATTGTGGAAAGGAGGCTGCACTAGACCTGGAACACAGCTGAGAAAATAAACCTTTGGCAACCAGTACTTAAAAACAGTGATTTTACCTTGGAGTATAGGGAATAGTATGAGGCTTCACTTGATTGAAGGTATAGATTAATTTCTGGGCAGCCCTTTGCTGTTGTATCTCCTGAAGAAAATAATGTTGTAAACATCACTTTCATTTTCATGAAGGAAAGTGCCATGAATTTGTCAAAACACACACCCCCACTCTTGACTGTATACTGTTTACATATGAGAGATATATCTTATGCAAAACCTTTTTCCTTTCCAAAACGTAACATCAAACCATGTGTCAACCACGCTGAAGACATTCACATGTAAGCAGCATAACATTTAAGGCACATCAGGCTAGACCACTCAGTGTGCATTCAGGTCTGAACTCACCCTCAGGCAGAGATGTAACACCGTGCCATCATGAAAGATCTTTTGCCAAGTCTGAACCACCTCTGGCAGAAAAGACTTCACAATAAATACTTGTCCCAGCTTTAATATATCATTCTCAGACCAAGTACAAATGACCTTCATGGCCCTCCGCAGACCCCCATCCATCTCCTCCTGTGACAAGACTTGGATCATTGCAGCCATACCACGCTGGGACCAGGAAGACATGCTTTTATCAAGGTTCATAGGTGAACTTTCTTCTAATCGATAGACCGTCACTTCCTCTCCAGCTTAAATGAAAGGAAGTTTTATTAGCAGAAGTCAACATTGCAAAAACAGAAGAAAATTGCATTTTGATTTTGTGTCTTATAATAACATACCACTTTACACTCTTCATAAGCCACACTTTAAAACAGACCTTTTATATCATTAACTGTTCATCTGTATGAAAACTTCCCCAGCCTAAACTTACACTATTTACTACATACATTCTGCTTAAGATCTACTGTGAAAACGTATGTGGTCCAAAGAGCATGTATTAAGGCTCTAAACAGACATGAATTTAAGATCTCCTGGACACTTCCACACAAACAAAGCTCATTGATATTCTGGTCTATATAAATCAATCTTATTTGCCACAGATGTTTTGAGTACTATAAGCTGGTTGAGTTTTAAACATACATAATTTTAAAGGGTTACCATTATATCTCCCATGCATGAACTTTAAGTATCCTGAGTGTGGCTCCATCCATTTATGCACTTATGCAGAAGGGGAATTTTTAGAAAGACTTATGTTAATCAAGATCCATGAAACACTCACATTATTTTCTTTGTAACTGTGCTTAACAATAAACAAAAAACAAAGACACACAGCTTATAACAGTTATCAACCATAAAACTGAAGGGCTGGAGAGTGCCACCTTTTGACACAAACAGACAGGCGAGTTGCTTCAAAAGTGGTGATGTGGCCTCAATGAGTCAGGGAAATTAGACTGAAAAAAACCCATTACTTTTCTTGGAGAAGGGAATTGTAAAAGAACAAGAAGTTTACAATTTGGGTGTTTTAAACTAAGATTTGTCTTTTTCCTAGAAATTCCAGTATTAGTTGAACTGTACAAAATTTCAGGTGTCCTTCTCCTGGTAATAATATTTTTCTGAAAGGCAAAAAAAGGGGTAAGTTTTGACACAATTGCACTCTGCTTCTCTATATAGTTGTTACAGCATTCCTCTCTTGCAGCGTAAGCCTCTGTTGCCATCATTTGTAAACTAACAGAAAAGTGGACTGATACTTCAAACCTGCCATTCCTTCTTGTAACTCACATTATTTGCAATGTTAATTTATAAGAAACAGGCTTTCACTGGCAACTGTATTGAGGAAACTACATCTGCAAAATGGCAAAGAATGGCATAAGGAAGAACAAACTGGATTCAGACTATTAGATTTCCACACCACTCCTGAGCCTACCTTCACCAGTTAACACAAATGTAGATGCTGCCAAAAACCACAATTTGTGCATATTTTGATTTAAAATAAACCAATGGAAAACCCAGTGTCTTACATAAAAGAGAGACACTTAAATAAAGATACCATAACAAGACACATTAGTTAATCTTCTATTAATTCTTCATTTTATTATCTTTTGACAATTTAATACCTAGAAAGGTGCCTCCTGGGAGCTTCAAAGATTAGAGTGTTCAATATGCTCATAGATATATTAATTATCTGCAGCAATCTGGTCCCAAGAAAAACTATGATGCTGCAAGTATCAGCAATTAGTTGCTGTGAGACAAAATATTCTACCCATTGAAAAGAAGGCACCTATAAAGTGCCTAGAGGCAGAGCTTCTACTCCTGTAAGCTAATAGTTCAGACTAATTTAAAAACCATTCCAAACAATTTATGTATTATTTTCTACCAATCTTCAGTTACAGAAGTACTTTTTTCCTTGGTACGCTACAAGTCTTCTGTACCAGACAGAGGAACAGTGCCCTTTCAACCAAAACCTGGTTTTCTTCTTGACGGGATATAATATACATACATCGACAGCTGTGTGTGTGAGAGAGACAAACTGAGAGAGAGAGATACACACAGAGAGACACAGAGAGAGAGAGAGAGAGAGAGAGAGAGACACACACACAGACACAGAGAGACACACACACAGAGAGAGAGAGACACACACACAGAGAGAGAGAGAGACACACAGAGAGAGACACACACACACAGACACACACAGAGAGAGACACACAGAGAGAGACACACAGAGAGAGAGACACAGAGAGAGAGACACAGAGAGAGAGACACAGAGAGAGAGAGAGAGAGAGAGAGAGAGACAGAGAGAGAGAGAACAGAGACAGAGAGAACAGAGACAGAGAGAACAGAGACAGAGAGAACAGAGAGAAAGAGAGAGACAGAGAGAGACAGAGACAGAGAGAGACAGAGAGACAGAGAGAGACAGAGAGACACAGAGAGACACAGAGAGACACAGAGAGAGAGATACAGAGAGAGACAGAGAGAGACAGAGAGAAACAGAGCGAGAGAGAGAGACAGAAAGAAACAGAGAGAGAGAAACAGAGAGAGAGAGAGAAACAGAGAGAGAGAGAGAGAAACAGAGAGAGAGAGAAACAGAGAGAGAGAGAAACAGAGAGAGAGAGAAACAGAGAGAGAGAGAGAAACAGAGAGAGAGA